ATGTCCAGCATTTGGGAGGCGAGAAACACTAATTGTGTTATCAGCAAAGGTGTTGTATGTGAACCCACTCTGCAGGGCGGGAAGACAGAATAGAGGAAAATGAAGGAGGAAAGAGATTCTGGCATCAATGCCAATTTAGTGAGTATATTTTATAGCAGTAAATGGCATAACGGTGAAAGAAACCTTGATTCTAAATTGCATATCATATTATGGCTTGTAAAAAGCTTTTTCAAGCTGCAAAATGTACGGAAAAAATTGTCAGTTTTCATTGTTAGTAAGTGCTGACAGGACCCTGACCTGTCGGGAAAGGGGCAGGCTCAAAGAGCCGCGTAAGGACCGGTTCTGACCTCGGGCTGCACCAAACAAAGCCCGGCCGCAGATCAAAGCGATGCAGGAGCTGCTGACGGGGGAACGAGGAGCACAGAGGAGCCAGGCGACCCCAGGGGCCAAATCTCACTGCCATGAAACCCAAGAACCCCGGGCAGTTCACAAACTGTGCGAGCTATTTGCATGAACTAAAAGCTCTTCGGAAAGTATGGAGAAAAAGCACATATCCAAACCCTTGCTTTTCTCAGCTGGGATTTTCACATAACCTCTTTTTGGATAGAATCAGCCCTTCTGTGAGGAAGCCACGCTTGAGGAGTTATGAGGAATTTCATTTTATTCTCACTGGTTTCCTACTTCCATTTCTTTTTTTAAACAGTTGATGTCTGAACTGTCATAATTAAATCCCTGCTTCAGCAGTCGAGGACGCGGCGAGTTCAGCCAAGCCATTTGACAAATGGGTGGTTCAAACGTTGTCAGCCTTGTGCAGCACAGCCACGTAATGCCTTAAAAATCACAGTTCTCAGTTCTGTGGCCTTCCAGCCTTCACTCTCTTCTTGGACTCAGCTCCTTTCAGTTGCAGATGCAGTTGGGCAGGACTGGGTAGTTTTTGCACGTGTGACTGTGCTGATTAGCTGGCAATTAGGTAACTCACAGAGATCTTATGATTTTCTGGAGCATTTAGGAATTTTGGTAAGAAATGGCTTCCTGGCAGGCCTCTGTCCTTAATCCACCATGGATCTTCTGAGAACCTCTCACCACCTGGGAGGTCCCTGCTACCTGCCAACCCTGGAGCTACAGCAACAGAGTTTGTGCTCTTCCTTAGGCTGTAATTGGTATGTATATGTTACCCTGTGTGTGTGCAGAGAAAGAAACAGGGCAAAAAGCACTCAGGTGAATACAAATTTATGACCGAAGAAGCGTATGGGATGGCCAGAGGCTAAAATTATATATGGAAGATGCACCTATGCACTAATAAACCTGAAGAGCCTCTGAGCTAGATAAACAGAAGGGTATTTGCACAGAACAGGAAGGAAATGACTTTATTGTATTTTCACCTTCCTATGCATTTTGACATCCTAATTGGCTTCCGTACCCAGATGGAAGTGCTGGAAATCCTGATTATCCATTGTTCCCATCTTGTGCATTCGGCATATATCGTGTCCTCCCCGGCGCGCAGCTCTGCCTCCTCCAGGGCAGCAGATTACAGCATGATTACCCTCTCTAACCTGCATTCTAGGCACCTATCAGTGGCAATCCAACTATTTATGCCATCGTAGTCCTGTATGAAGTGAGACATTCTGCTGTTATGTCTGAGAGGATGTGTCATAGCTGGAGTACGTGAGCCTCTGTGTAGAAGAGAAGGGAGTCTGCTTCTCAGTTATCTTTGCATCTCGCCATCTCTATCTGCCTAAAAACCATAAACTAGTCAAACCTGTCTGGGTTTGCATACTTCACACTTTATTCTTCCCTGTAGCTTATGGCAGGCAGACTAATCATGTCATATGCACAAGCTAATAATGCATCTCTAATGCTCAGCCACGTGGCTGGCCTGTCTGTGATCACAGAATCATAGGATCATTACGGTTGGGAAAGACCTTCAGGATCATCAAGGCCATCCCTACCACCACACTGAGGCTCATTCTGGCCAGCAGCAGGTACCTAGGGCAACAGTGCAGGGCCAGAGCAAGCACATGCCTGTCTGGATCCCAGCTCCAACACTGGAGAGTCGGGGGTTTCCCTGCGTTTGAGAGTCTGGGAGAGGCCTCTTCCTACTGCAAACTGCCCTGAATCTACTGATACTTTTGACACTGGCAGCCACCTCTGACAGTGACTTCTACAGCTTCATTGTCATGAACGGAAAAAGTTTCCTATGATGCCTCCTCATCCTGGGATTATGAAAAGTACTCAGCAATTGTCCCCCACTTTGCATGACATTAAGTCTAGCTTTGTCATAAGCCCCTATTCCATCATCTCTTCAAAACTAACAAATCCTAGTCCACTTCCTTTGCTTGGATAAAAGCTGCTCATATCTTTGATCACCATTTTTGCCTTTCTCTGTACCTTTTCTACACACAGTGTTTCCTTTTTGGAGATGGGGATGAGAAAGCAAGAACAGAGTGCAAGATGTGAGTGCAGTATGGATTTATTAAGTGCTAATGGTGTTTTTGTTCTATTCTCTGCTTCTGGCTCAGTAATTCTATGATCCTTTTTGCTTTCTGACCACTGCTGAGCACTCAGGCTTCAGAGCGCTCTGAAACGCGCAGCCCACCTATTCTTTATGAGCAGCTTCATGTGTTTTAATGCTCTCTCCTACCCGGGGGAAGGCTTCCTACCCTCCACACATGGAGCGGTGCCCGAGACGGCCGTCTGCAGGGAGTGGGAGGACACGAGTGCTCCGAGGTTTCAGGGCTTCTTTTCATCAGACGTTTTCAAGGCACTTGAACTCCAGCCTCCCTCAAGCGCCACCCGAGGTAGGTAAGATTCACTGAACGAATTCACAGATGGAGAAACTGAGCCTGAACAAGGCGGAGGGATTCGTCCAGTCAGCTTGGAAGTTGTCCCAAAGCCAGGAACAGAGCGAGACCTAGACCGGTGTCTCCTTCCACAGGCAGCTCCCCTGGGGCTGCCCTCCCTGCGGCTCCTGCCCTCACTCCTTTTGATTTCCCCCTGCATATCAGGTGCCTACAGTTACTCTCCAGACACAGAACGTCGCAGTGTGACTGTTCTATTTTCAAGTCTGTTTTGCACCCTCACAAAGTTTTCTTACACGTAACTACTCTTTCATGCTCTATGACCAGAAAGTTGCCAGAAAAGTGAGCTGTGAACTAGTCTGCACTGTCCTATTTCTTCTCATATTATTTCAGCCTCAATCACGTGCAGTGATTGCAGATCTTTCCACCAAATTCTCACAGGACATACGGCTACAATAGCATATTGTCAGAAATGTTTTGATGGACGAGCTACACTGTCACCTCTGGGCCTGACTCCGAAAGGTGCTTAGAGCTTTCAGGACTTTATTGTGGGTGCTCAGGGTTTCACTCCACCTGCCCTTTCATTCCTAATCGCTTTAATGAGAGGGTCTGGGCAGCTAGAGGAGCTGACAGGACATTATGTAGCCTTTGAACCGGACATCCCTGGCTCAAATCAAGCACAGATGATGATTGGAAGTTATTACTATTGGCTACCAGGCTGTGAAATGAGTTTTGCAGAGTTAGTCAACAGGCACCTTTATCACAAAACTATTATCACTCGTGGGCACTCGGTGGGGCAGCCTGAGCTGTGTGTGCAGCAGCTAAATGGGCAAGGATACTGAGATGTATCCCCATCCTCCGGGGCTTTCCTCCTGCAAGGAAAACCTGCGCTGGTAGGGAAGCTTGTGAAAGCTTGTAAAAGCTTGTACTTTGGGAATTTATTTGCAATAGTGCCACATGAGAGAAAAATGTCACTGCCAACGTATGTTGCCTTCCATATTCGACTAGCTAATACAGAGAAACAACTCCATGAGCGTAACTCCGGGAGCATAAGGGAACAAGCAAATTCAAAAAGAAAATGCATTAAATGCTGACAAGAGTCTTTTCTGTTGAGAGTTCTTCGTTTTCTATAGAGTTCTGGAACAAAACACTGGTTTTGAAACATCAGATGCTGTTTCAGGCAGGGAAAATTCTCCCTGCCTCTGTGGACCTTGCAGCGGTGCAATCGCTTTAGTGGTGGTTCAGATACAGACAGCACTGCATAATTTTGGGTTTTTTTGCACACTGTGAGAACGACTGGCTAATGCTGACCATCACAGACCATGTGATGGATTAGTTAGTGGAAGCCTGTGGAAGATGCCAGAGCCATTCCCAAGCACCCACAAAAGCCTCCTCCTTGCTGGACAGCACCAGAGCGAGCAGGTCCTGCTGGCTGGTAAAACTGTTCTCTCCCTGCTGCTCTTCATCCCAGAGCACCCGTTTGAAGGCCTCCATAATGCTCCTAGGCACAAAATGCAAAATCGAGTTAAAAAGGCTCCAGCTACTCATGCTGTTTGCAGATAAATGAAACAAACTCAGAAAAGGTTGAGACAGCTGGAAATCTGACAGGAAAACTGGGTTTTTGAGACAGAACACCCGAGCCAATTTACAGTTAATTACTGTGATTTGGAAGAGCTCTGCGAGTAAATACCAGCCTCGGACTGTCCAAGTAAGGAAGATAATTGTTTCCTGAACGGTGTTAGAACGCCACCAGCCCATTCCTTCCTCAAATGCAGAAGAGATTTTGTCTTCAGCAACGCGAATCTGTAACTATTCTGCTAGCAAGTAGCTACGATACTAATGTGAAGCATCTTCCCTGTCATGACACAATTTATTGAGCTCCAAGGGTGCCTTTTGGAAGTAATTTTTCTAATGACAGGTGGAGCAGCAACGAGGACAGGAGAGCCCCGACACACAGCAAGCACCACACTGCCCCAAAGGGATATAGGAACACACGGAGAATCACGGACAGCTCCCACATTGCATCCTCTTTTATGTTATCCTCTTTGAGCTACTACAGGGAGGAATTTTTTTTACACAGATTGCAGCAACACGTGAAAAAATAAACCCATGTTGGTAGACTTTTAAAAGGGCAACCAAAAATGCAACCAGCGCTAGGATGGTTTCTTGAGAAGCTCAAGTATTACTGAAGGACGCACTCACCTGAGTCCAGAGCAGGTGCTGAGACTGACAGAAGAATCAGGGTACCCCTGCACACTGCCGTGGTAATAGCAGTGACCCTAATTAAAAAAGAGAGAAGACATTTCAGCAGGTGAAACCACTCTTAATACCTCATCTTACCATGATTTTCCATAGTTTTAAAAAATATTTTAAAGCAGATTTTTATCTAGGCTACAGTATTCAGAATTAAACCGACAGCATCTTTCCCACCTCCACTAATATTAACCATCCTTAACTGCCCAAAGGATCCTCAGGTGCAAAACCTCAGGGGGATTTTTTTTAAGAGGGTCCATAGTATTTAAAAAGCATGACTGTGATAGCTTTAAATAAAATAATACAGCAAAATGGGTTAAGCTATGGGATAGTTTAAAGTCAATAATCAGTACAAATCAAGGGACATGCTTTACTGCTTCCCATAGACTTGTATATTTTTATTAAAGGTAGTTTACATGTGTGCATATCTATAAGAGGTAGCTATGTAAAAAAGGAAGTATAATAAAGCGAGTCCCAACCCTACAGTTTGAATAGACCTCCCAGAGCAAATGAAGGGGAAGAGAAGCACGTTGGAAAGGAAACCTTTTATTGAATTACCCAACTGAATGGCTGCACGTTATTAAGAACCAAGAATAAGAGGGTCTTCTATTTTAAGAGGCAACAATCCAATTTCATTTTGCGGCTAAGTTATTGTATTTCCTTAATAATCCACAACTTGCAAAAGGCAGCCACAACAGAGATACTTGCGCAGCACATACACATATCTGTCTGGAATCAAGGTTAATTTTATTGTTGACTAAAGGTTATATTACATTCCCAATTATGGGACTGGCTGGAAAGTAATGACTGTGTCACGTCCAGCGTTTCTTCTCTCGTGGCTCCTCTGAATGCCACCTGGAAACTGAAAACACTGTTGTAAAAGGTTGCTATCTTATTAGTGCAAAGGCAAGTTATCACTCAGGCTTCAGCCTGACAGCCATCTCACCATGCCTTTTTACCACTCGGTTCATTCACACCCATCTAGCTGCATTAATTAACCTTTTCAGTCTTGGGCCATGGTTTTCAGTTACAAAGCCTCACCTGGTGGACTTTGAAAGACCACCTCGGTTTTGTTAAAGAAAGCAATAATCGTGAGAGCGCTGGGGCAAGAGGGAATAATGCAGATAGATACAAATTTTCTGAAAATTAGATTGTACCATGAAAAATACTTCTTTGAAGCATTTCCTATTTTCCAGCATGAGCAACTAAACACAGAACAGCAGCGAGTGATATTCTAAATACAAGTGTCAATGGCTTTTCTCAGTGAATGGACAGTCAGAAACAGGGTAACAGTGGTTACTTTGGGGGATGTTTATGAGCTGTGCTCATAAAGATCCAGTAATACATTATCAAGGACAAAGCTCCCAAAAAAGGGAGGAAATCGTAGCCTGAGCTTTCTTGGGATGAGTGCTTCAGTCACAATTGCTACGGACATCCAAGTTTCCAGCATGAGTACTCTACTTCATTTTATTATCAGTTACAGTCATGCAGTTGGTAACAGAGGAAAAACACCCCCCTGCCCTGAAGTGAACACACACTGATTCTCCTACAGTGACACTGATGCAGCCTGAAAGCATAAATAAAGTAACTTTATTTCTGCCTCTTGAAGCAGGAGTATGGCAGAAAGGCAGTTCAGAGGTTTCCAGAAAGCAGTCTGTGCAGTTTCCTACTTAGGCTGTTAAGAACAGCACTGTTTTCTACCATTCCTATTCTGAACAAGACAGGAGCATCCAGCAATGAGAAAACACTGAAAACTCACAAATGCAGAGATATAACAGAGCTTCCTCTTCTGAGTTAAGATGTTATGCATAGAAATACTGCCTTTCACTGACATCAGCACAGCCCATTTTGGATGGGAATGTGGAGCACGATGCTGCTACTGATACAGTCAGTAAATAAATAACATAACAAATACTCCATAGGAGCTGGAACTTCTTAGGCAGATAAAAAATAAACTTTGTAATTGAAATCACTTGCTGCATTGTTTTTAATTAAGGCATTCATACTGTCAGAGGACAAAGACTTTACTGCCTTAAAGTGCTTTTATTGTTAAAAAGCAGCTTAAACCCCAGTACAAGAGGGATGTGGAGCTGCTGGAGAGAGTCCAGCGCAGGGCTACAAGGATGATCAGGGGCCTGGAACATCTGCCCTATGAGGAGAGGCTGAGGGAGCTGGGCCTGTTCAGCTGGAGAAGAGAAGGCTGAGAGGGGACCTGAGCAGTGTCTAGAAGTACCTCAAGGGAGGCAGTGAGGAGGATGGGGCTGGCCTCTTTTCACTGGTGGCCACCGACAGAACTAGAGGTAATGGCCACAAACTGAAGCACCAAAAGTTCCACAGGGAATTTTTTAACAGTGAGTGTGACAGAACGCTGGAACAGGCTGCCCAGAGAGGTTGTGGAGTCTCCTTCTCTGGAGATCTTCAAACCCGCTTGGACGCAGTCCTGTGCCACGTGCTCTAGGTGACCCTGCGTGTGCAGGGGTTGGACTAGATGACCTCGAGAGGTCCCTGCCAACCTTAAGCATTCTGTGATTCTGTGATTCTATGATCTCCACTACAAAAAGCAGATATTCCTTTCTATGGGAACCAGGACTTTCCTCCTTAACTGCTCACCAACGGCTGCTTGCAACGTCTTATGAAAATTTAACGGGCATGTTTCCGAGAAGCTGAATAAATCCTACACTTTTTATCAGTCACCTTGTTAAAAGCACCGCAGCTTCCCTTTAAAGTCTCTCCCTAAAAATTCCTGCATGGGATCACAGCAGCCAGGAAGGCCCCAAAGGCAGCAGAGGCCACGCGGGAGCCGTCCGTCCCGCGGCCCCGGGCCCGGTTGGACGAGGCGGCGCCAGCGCCACAGGCCTTACCGTGCGATTGCGCGCGACGACCACGTCGGTGCCGTCCCCCAGGTAGTGCGTTTCCGTGAAGGTGCTGGCTAACAGGCCCCTAGAAGGCAAACACAGCACCACAGGAGTGTTAGTTGCCTTTGCTTTGTCCCTTGGTGCTCCCATGGGAGGTGACAATGGCAGTTTGGCGTTAACGAGGCGGTGACCGCCAGAACTGAGCGTGACATAATGACAAATACAACTTCAAATACTGAAGTGCTAGCACACAAGCTCTACCTGCGTTAATTATAAAAAGACTACACGCTTTCAGACAGTTTTCTCTTCCAAATGAGCGCTGAATGTCAGCACATCTCAGCACTGAAGCTTCCAGGTAATTTTCAACACGTTTCATATTAAATCTGAAGCCTAGACATCAGTAAGGAATGATGGTTTTGGAAAAGGGAAATGCTTTCCCTGTGTTACTCATTTTAGTCTATAAAATGCTGGACTCATCAGCAAGTGACCACCCAAAGACGCATTCAACTCAAGCGAGTGAAAAGAAGCCCCTTCCATTGACATTCAAGGGAAAACAGGGAGCGAGACCAGGGAGATATTTTCTTCCCATTCACTCCACACTTCCCCTCCCGGCTTGGCAACGACACCAAGAATTTTGACTTGCTATTCCTGGCTTCCGGAAACATCCGGGGAAGGTTTATGTGTGGTAATTACCTGAAGTTTCCCCACGTAGTAAACTCATGGAATGGGGAAAGCAGCCCCTGCTCAGCCCTGTTAAAGCCCTGTTATGCATTTCTTTCTCAGTTACTTCTCTAAAGGGCATTTCTAACAAGGTCAGAAGGAAGAATAAATCCCTACACTGACTCTTAACATGGGAGTTCAGTGACAGCCCTCAGCACAAACATGCTTGATTTTGACAAACACCTTAGTGAAATGGAAAAGCACTGTTTGAAGAAATCAAATCCTAATGTCACTTATTGGAGAGAGAACCTGTCTCTGAAAGCCCGTATTTTAAGGTAGAAGAGAAACAAGGTTAGTGAAACAAGGCAATAAATTAATAAATAAAATGATAAAGACAGACAACCCAACACCATGGATATTCCAGCATAGACTCTCATTTGCCATTTTTCAGACTGCAGGAACTATTAGCTTATTAACAGATACCAGATATCAAAACACAGTGATGTTTGGTGAGTTGTACAACGGGTTCTGGATCTTGGCCATCCACCAAATCAAGAGCAGGGTTTGGTTGCCTAAATCAACCAAACCAAACCAACCCCACAGGCATCTGCTGTCAATGTAATGCCCTAGATATTTCACCAGGCTGCTCTACAGCGATGCCCTGAGTACCTGAGGGTATCTTGGGCAGCACTTGACACCTGTGTTCATCTCACCCCTGGAAAGCCTCCCTGAGATCCATCATGCTGTGTCCACATTCCCAGCCTGCCATTCCCATGCTCAGAAAGAGCAGCTGCTGCCTTAGCTATAACCATTATTTATAGAGCAGCGCGGCTAAGTTCAGTGCTTAGCAGGGGTTCCTTGGCTTTGTAAAGGCAAAAGGCAGGATCCCATTGCTGCTGAAGTTGGTAGAAATTTGCTGTGCACTTATCTGGAGATGGGATTTCACTTCGGATACCAGAGCAATTCTTATTTAATGGGACAAAAGACAGGCGAAGGGAGAGGGTAACAGATGTAGCATAAGGGCAAAGCGATTGAGCAATAAATTTGGTTTGTGCTCTGCTATTTGCCGAGTGTTTGACAGCAGTGATGATAAAGGTGACCTTTCTGCTTCTCTTGGCTCTACCCTCGGGCACAAGTCTAGAAAATATTCCATAGATTCATGGATTTTAACACCAGAAGGGAGCGCTGTGACCAGCAATTTGATATCCCATGTCACATAGGTCATTTGCCTTGATTAATCTCTGCTTCTAGTACAATAACTGTGATGGAATGAGACTGTGTTTTCTTAGTTTATACAGTTCTTGTCTTGATTTCCCATGATGAAGAAACTACCGCAATCTTGCTGAGTTTTTACCAGCCAACTACGCCCACTGCACTTCTCATCCAGCTTGAATTTGTCAATGCCCAGTTTCCAGCTGCTGGCTCTCGGTCCCTGCCATTGAGGCTTCACTTTCTTTTGTGTATTTTCAAGGATATTTCTAGATACTAAATAGGAAATACAGCAGCGAAACAAAGCCCTGGTGTTGCTATCATCAGTTCCTCTCTCCAGGATGAAGGGTTGCTCTCTAGTGTGATGGAAATACCAGTTAACTGAAAGAATCCTAGTGAGGCAAAGCGGGGGCTGGCAAGACCGCCAAGATGATGGAGTGCCACTCTTGGACCACTAAATGAAGCAAAAAATGCCTTCATGTGGCAGCCAGAGCTGGTTTGGAATCATGGATACTTCACATACAGCTGAAGGGCTTCTAGGTCACGAGAAGGTTTTTCAGGAATATATATTAACGCTCTTGAGCTTTAGTAACTAAGATGTTCTTGCGACGGCCTCTGTCTGCTTTTGTGCCGCTGCGGTGCTAGTGCTAGTTTGGGAGCGAGCCAGAAGAAAGGTTTTCTCTGCATTGTAGGGGTTGGGGACCTATACGAGACAGGCCACCAGGGACTCAACAAACAATTTCTGGCAGGAAAAGAAGCTGTTATCCCACTTTCAAAATGTCTAATATCTTAAAAGCTATGTAGCAGAATAAGCATGTAGCACTAGTGCCTGGGGACGGCAAGTCATGTAAAGACATTGCTTGAAAGGTTACCAAAGTAAGTGCAACAAGCACTCATTCCACCACTAAGAGGGATGCTCTTCAGCTCCAAATTACGGTAATAATGTTTAACATTTTGAACAACAAATTCACCATATGTATCTGTTAGGTAATTTAATTTCCTCCCTCAAAAAGATATGTAACATATTAAATTGATTTACATTTCTGTTTCTGACTCACAGTAAAGGAGATTAATAGATGAAAGTAAATTAATTTAGATGGCAAGCTACTTAACCTAATTGGATCAATGTAATTTTTAAAGAGCAGGGATCAAAATAACATTAATATATCATACTGCAATTCATCACCACGTCTGGAGTTGTCAGCTAGAGCTCAGCAGTGTCAGACCATTATCCTCTTTTTGCACTGCTTGAAGCAGTGGAAACAAATGCCCTCGGGAACTGCACCAACTGCTGGATAAGAGTTTAAAAAATCAGTTAAAGGAATACCACAATTTTCTACTTCATTCTTTGAAGAGGCAAAAGTGGGATTCTTGAGTTCAACTAAGTTAGGTACTTAGACACTGCGTTGGCCAGTATCATAGATCAGTCTGTGTTTCCAAGAGTGGAATAACAGGGAGAAGCTTCTAAGGCCCCGGATACAAGTTTTACCGGCACTGATCTCTGACAGGTAGAGCACAGGCTTCCTCCTCTGCCATAAATCAGCCCCGGGCTTTCCTGTCAAACTGCCTCCACTCGCCCAAGCCCCAGGGAACACGATGAGCAGTGTTTAAACTTCCAACCCTTCCCTTCCCGGCCTCTCCATGGTGTGGAGTCTTGGGTGGTTTGCTCAGGAGGAGGGAAATATCCTGCTTTAATACATCAGGCTCTTTACTCAATCCACTTAATACCAGGAATGGTAATTTAACACACTGCCTCTTACTTACAAATGAGAAAATCACTCTGCGTTCTCCAAGCGCCAATATATTATTTCAAAAGGTTATAATGATACTTCATCACCCAGGGAGTGTCAGAAAGATGGAGTCACAGGAGCTGGAGATGGGAAAAATCCAGTGGATCATGCAGGCTGCCTCCCTGAAAGCCAAGTGTGCTGGAGATCAAATTAGTTTTCGTCTCGTCTACTTTCAAACATCAAAGGCGGCGCTGAGTCCACCACTTTCCAAGGGAGATTACTTTGCATTCTAACAGATGTTGCTGTCACGACGCATTTCCCGAAACTCAGCCTTTCTTTAATTTCTCCTAGTTGCACTTCTTTTACTAGCTGAAACACTTACTCTTGGTACATGGATCATTCAAATGGGTGCAGATTATTATCAAATTCTCCCTTAACCGACCACTTGCCAAGTACAGCATATCAGGCCGTAAAAATGACAAGATCCCGGTTCATGCTGGTGCTACTTGGGAAAAGCAGGGCCGTTATCGCAGCAGGACGTGGGAGCAGTCACTCGGTGAAGGCTGCGGAGGGCACATCTCTTCCTGGGAGCACCAGAGCCCATGGGGCTGCTTCTTGCTCTGTGAGGGTGAAGCTGGTTTTGGCTGCCCACCTTGCAATAGAGGGATAAGGAAAACGGCTGTTTTTTGTGGAGCCAAAAGGAAATACACGCAGTGGGATCTGCCTCGTGTGATGGAGTCACGCACAGCCATGGGCATCCAAACGTGTTGCCTTACAGCTGGACACGATGATGTCTGCACGGGGTCCGGGCTGCAGCGTGTCCCACCGCGATACAGCGCCCAAGGAACATGCAGCAACAGCCTGGCCTCTGCCTCGGCGAGGATGGAGAAACCCAGTCTCTCAATGCTCTGAGGGCACCGTCCAGCTGCCCGCGAGTGGCCTAGGGCCTGGGCTGCTCCCGTGCAGGGCCCCGAGCCCTGATGCACCCACTGGAGGCAGCCCCGGCGCCGCCGCCACGGAGCGTCAGCCGGGAGGGCTCTGACACGCGGTGAAGCCAAGCGGGAACTGCACAGCTAGCCAGAGCCCGTGTCCCGAAATGGAAACACTCTGAGCCTTCTCTGGAAAAAGCTCTACGTTTTCTTTGAAGCCTGGGGTAAGGAGAAAGCAGCGCCGACTCTGAGATGAAGCTTTACAGACATGTGGCATTTTGCTTTTGACATCTGACGTGCCCAGGGAGTGCACGCTGGGTGCTCTGCATCGGCGCTGAAGGACTGGCAGCGCTGAGATGTGCGCTCAGGTCTGGCTTCTTCAACCCCAAATCCTCATCCTAAAGTTCGGAGATGCAGCCCCCAGCGTTCACTTTAATTCTAGTTTCAAACGCGGTCACGTATGCACATATCTGTTCTGGGTCCAACATCACAGCGATGCACGCTTTGGTTATAGTATTTCAGAGTAGCTTTTAATGATAGAGAGAAGGTGCTGCAAA